AAGCCTCCTCACTTCAGGGTTCCCTACCCACTACATCCTCCAAGGGCACCTCTGGCTGCTTAGAAAGTCTGAAAATCAAACTCACCTTCATCACAGGTCCACACATCCTGCAGAGATCCCAACAAGAGAGGCAGGGGCATGCCTAGCACCTGCCAAAGCCCCACACCTGAGTGCTTCCTCCTGCCCATTGACAGAGGCCTCAGGGTGGCACCAAGACCTTAAGTCATCAAATCAGGGGACTATAGGAGACCAGTCTGGTAGGCACACGCCATGATCAATGAAGTCCATCCTTCAGACCTCCTGACTGTCTAACTAGTGTCCTCTTCTTGTCCTAGGACTCCATCCAGGATGTCACACGACACACTCATCACTCTCCTTGGCCATTTTAAGGAGCTCTGGTCAGTGCCTGGTGGGATGTCCTCAGGTGGTGCTGGGGGTTGTCCACTGTTTCTCTGGCGACCACCATAGTTGTGAGCTTGGTGAAGCACTCTTGTCCCTTCAGTGAGGGCTGGCACTGACCTTGGTGACATTCTGGGGTGGCATCTGTCAGGTTTCTCCACTGTCGATTTTCCCTCTTCTCCCACCAAACTCCTAGGAAGTCAAGGCATAACTCCTGCCCAAGGGGTGAGGGGTCAAGTTCCCTCCTTGATGAGGAATTATCTCACACAAATCATATGTTTATTTATTTTAAATGGGGAACGCTTCACGAATTTGTGTGTCACCCTTGCACAGGGCCATGCTAATCTTCTCTGGATCATTCCAATTTTAGTCTACGTGCTGCCGAAGCGAGCACCTTTTTTTTTTAGACAGGGTCTCGTTATCCCAGGCTGGCCTCCAACTCCCTATGTAACTAAGGACGGCCTTGAATTTCTTTTTCTCCGGTGTGTGTGGACATACAGGTGCCACACACAGCACATACATGGCCCTCAGAGGTTAACTTTCAGGAGCCAGATCTCTTTCCTTCCACTGTGGGATCTAGGAGATCCACTCAGGCCACTTCCCAGCCCCAACCTTCAACTTCCGATCCTCCTGCCTCTACCTGCCAAGTGCTGGGGTTACAGGTGTGTGATGCCTTTAAAATTTTGTTTTATTGGCCATGCGGCGGTGGCACACGCCTTTAATCCCAGCACTCGGGAGGCAGAGCCAGGTGGATCTCTGTGAGTTCGAGGCCAGCCTGGGCTACCAAGTGAGTTCCAGGACAGGCACCAAAACTACACAGAGAAACCCTGTCTGGAAACCGCCCCCCCCAAATTGTTTTATTAACCTGTATTAATATACATAATACTGGGGTTTGTTATGATATTTTATGCATGTATGGTATGTATTTTGATCATTTTCATCCCCCATTGACCCCTTGCCCTCCACCCACTGATCATCCTCTTCCCAGCGACCCACCTTCCCTCTCATGTCCTCCCCCAACCCCATTTCTCTTCTTGGAGACCAAATGAGTTTCATTAGGGTTGCTGACAGGAACATGGGCGAGAGGTTTTATTTACAGGAGCACAGCCACCTTACCAGTGGCTACATCATTAAAGAATATGGCTCTTCCTCTGCCCACCAACCATTAACTGTCTGTAGCTCTTTAGGGAGAGAAAGTCCTCATGAGCCCCTCCCCCATGGCGACTATTAACTGCCTATAAATGTTAGTGGAGAGCTGGGGCCTTGTGAGCTCCTCCCTAGCCCATGACAGGATTTTGATGGGCCCAATCTTATGCAGCCATATCCTTATTTTTGTTTTGTTTTGAATGTAGTTCTGCAAATCAAATCCAGGGTTCATACATGCCAGGAAAGCATTTTACCTTCTGAGTATATTCTTGGCTCCAGGATTTCTCCTGTACGGGGGCTTTTTGCATTATTAATTCATTTACTTATTTATGCTCTCATGGATATGTATTTCATACTCTAAAACCTACTGTGTTTGATCCCGATCTGCCTGGTAGCCAGGGCGGTTAGTAAAGTATAGACAGTGAACCTCATGTCTAAGAAATAATCAATCATTGTCTCTAGAGCACCAATGGGTTGGGGAATCAATGTCACAGGCAGATGTGTAAACAAAAACAGTCTGAGCCCACAGCACTTTGGGAAGGAACCCTATCTCTGAGGAACAGGGCTCCGCTGTATTTGATAATTTGTATAGAGACAGCAGAAGAGCCCCACCGAGCCTCAGGCCCTGTCCGTGGTCCTGCCCTGCATCTTTTCTCCCTCAGCCGGAGGATTCCTGCACAGACAGCAGTGAGGACCGAGGCGCTCAGGAGGAAACATGACGAAATTGAGTAGGAATGTGGGATGCGCCACAGGCTTAGATTTAAGAAACTAATGAGAGACAAGAGGCCTGACCCCTTTAACAAGTCAGGATCCTGGAGGGGACTGTGCCAGAGTCACGTGGACTGCGTGCACTGCACAGTCCTGGAGAGAGAAAACAAGCTTAAAAAAATAAAAATAAAATAAAATCCGAAGTAGACATTTTGGGGCTAAATAGAGAAATGTGGAAAGGGTCTACATAACAAATATGCTGATAGTTTATGTCAGCTCAAATGTGAGGATCATTTGGGGGAGGAGCTGGGTTAGAATACATGGTGCAGTATGATCTCATTTCATGCAGAAAGCTACATGTAAGTACAGGGACGCTCTGGTCACCTCCCTAGGCGACAGGAATACAATAGATCTATTTTTGACTGTCCACATTTGCAACCTACTCTAGTCCACAGAAACTCCGGCTGTGATATAAGAATCATTTAGTAAATAAAGGAATCACTGGCCAGACCCAGGGTGGAGGATTGCTGCCTAGGCAGAAGTTTTCTAACAGATCCCTGGAGGTTTTAGTAGCCAGAAACTTGGTGTGAGCAGAGAGTGTGTGGAACCACTGAAAAGGGATCCCCACCCCGTGTGTGTGTGTGTGTGTGTGTGTGTGTGTGTGTGTGTGTGTGTGTGTGTATTAACCAGGTCCAGCCCTGTTAGTGCTAGGAAAACAATCAGACAATTCATCAATGACATCTGTAGAATCTGGCCCCTGCTGGATGGGCTGGAAATGGCTTCAGGCTGACAGGGGTGAAAGGGTAAGCAGGAACAGGGGCAGAGGAGAGACGGTTTCACAGTTAGAGGCTACAGTGCAGAAGGGAAACCCAGGTGAGTCCCTGTGCAGAAACAGGACGGCTAAGAGACAAGCAGATTTGTTTCTCAAGTGTAGAGGGAGCAGGGTCTAAGGACAGCAGGTGTCTGTCCAGCCTGGGGATATGGTCACAGGACTCTGGCCTCCTGCCAGGAGTTGCAGGGAGGCCATTCCCACGCCTCGGGGTCTCTTGAGTCTAGAGTTCTAGGTTTCAACCAAAGCAAGAAGGCTTCATACCAGCAACCTGCAGCCTCCTGTGTTAGGGGCTGCTCAGCCTGTGGCCTCCTGTGTCAGGGAATACTCAGCCTGTGGCCTCCTGTGTTAGGGAACACTCAGCCTGTGGTCTCCTCCTGTGTTAGGGGCTGCTCAGCCTGTGGTCTCCTGTGTTAGGGAATACTCAGCCTGTGGCCTCCTGTGTCAGGGAATACTCAGCCTGTGGTCTACTGTGTTAGGGAATACTCAGCCTGTGGCCTCCTGTGTCAGGGAATACTCAGCCTGTGGTCTACTGTGTTAGGGAATACTCAGCCTGTGGCCTCCTGTGTCAGGGAATACTCAGCCTGTGGTCTACTGTGTTAGGGAATACTCAGCCTGTGGCCTCCTGTGTTAGGGAATACTCAGCCTGTGGCCTCCTGTGTTAGGGAATACTCAGCCTGTGGTCTACTGTGTTAGGGAATACTCAGCCTGTGGCCTCCTGTGTTAGGGAACACTCAGCCTGTGGTCTCCTCCTGTGTTAGGGGCTGCTCAGCCTGTGGTCTCCTGTGTTAGGAGCTGCTCAGTCTGCTCAGGTGGGAGATGCTGGCCAAAAAGAGAGACTCTGCTAACCTCTGTAGGAGAAAGGCAGAGGCGGCAGCAGCAGATGTCCCCGAGCAAAGCACAGAAGACATAGAGAATGGGCTTCAAGAGGGAACAGTAGTAAGCTCCCTGGGATGGGGGACCGGAGTCCTTACACCTGCCTCCCTCCTCCACCTCCTGCTCTCGGGGACTCCCAGGTTCTGGCCAGTGCCCAGACACCTAGAAAGGGATAGTTATTACCTCCCACTTGTCAGGTCACAAGAAGGCACCAGCCCCACTGGTCATGGCCCAGCTCCTCCCATGTTCGAAAATGCCACCCTGATCTGTCCTGAGAACAGAATGCCACCCAGTACACATCTGGGACCAAGGTCCCAAGCTCCCCACATAGGGCCTGAGGTCTCGGATGGCCTTGGGAACCCAAAGCTCAGCCGGAGCTTCTGAATCCAGAAGACGCGGACCACTGCACGGCTACATGAACACAGTGCCCTGTCCTCCCCTCAGACACGGACACACATCCTGTGTGGATGGCAAGAGGACACTAGCCCAATGGGCAGTTATTCATGATACACTGGCACTTCAGATCTTGCCATTCAGACAGGCTAAACAGCCCCCACAATGCTGCTCTGTGCCACCCATGCGGCCCTACACCAACACCAGAGGCTCAGCTCACCACTCCTCAGCTCGGTCCTGGCCTGGCCGGCGGCCGCCAGCACAGCCCGCTGCCAGTCAGGCCTGCCCATCCAGCTTGAGTGGGAGGTCACTAGGAACTGGGCCAGAATCCAGGGTGGCCCCCAAGCAGACACCTCCTGTTCTAGGTTGGGGAGGTGCAGCTAAGGACCTGTCCCTGTCACCCCTAGGCCTGGTGCGGTGCACACATACCCCTGCGACTTGATGTGTGTGGGGAGGGGGCGTCCAGAGGCTCGATTGTGAGGGCTCCTCGGATTGGGGACGGCCCGGAGGGGCAGGGCCGGTGGCCGGGCCGGCCACCGCGGGGGTGCCACGCGACGCACCAGGCCCCCGGGGTGGGACCACAGCACGGGGTCCCCGCGGTTCCCCCCCAACCTGGGGACGCACGCGCGCGCGAGCGCGAGCTCCTTACCTCCTCGCCTTGGCCGAAGCGCAGGCCGAGCGCCGCGACGCGCTCCACGCGCAGGAAGCCGTCGGGGTCGCGGCCGCACACCTCGAACACTTCGCGCAGGCGGCGCACGGAGCGCAGCAGAGCCGCGGGGGCGCCCGCCCAGCCCGCGCCGCCCGCCATCCGCGCCGCCCGCAGCTAGCCCGAGCCCCGCGCCGAGGCCGCCGCCGAGGCCGCCGCCGCCGCCGCCGCCGCCGAGGCCGCCGCCATGGCGCTCGCACCGCCCGGGTCTGCGGCGCGCAGCCTCCGCCCGCGGCGGCCGCTCGTGTCAGCCGCTCGTGTCTGCCGCGCGCCGCGGGCCCGCGTGGGGGCGGGGCGGGGCGGGGCTGCAGACAAAAGGACCCGAGCCGCCCCAGGCCCCGCCCCTCCTAGACCTGAACCCGTGGTGGGGGTGGTGGGGGAGATGCGGGGGGGGGGGGGGTTGCGGGGGAGGGAGGTCCGGCTCCCCGCGCCGCCCGTGCACCCCGCGACCCGCCGGTGCACGCGTCCTCTTTGTCGGTTCTGGGTGTTGCAGGTGTTTCCCTACGTCAGGGCCTTTGATTGCTACCATTCCCTTCCCGGGAAGCTGAGATGCTGCCTAGAGGCCACGCAGCTTGTTGAGGGCAAGGGAAGGGACGCGGTGAGGAGGCGCGGGGACCCTGGAAGGGTGGCGAGTGGAGGGGACTAAAAGTCGGTGGCAGGAAGAAAGGAGGAGGGCTTCCGTTAGGCTTGGTGTCGCCAGGACCCGGGAATACCTATGGCTTGGGACCCCGGAGCTGGTGTCCTCTCGCACTTCGCGGGCTCTAAGCTCAGAGCCCAGGAATCCATCCTGAGCGTGGTGACCCAACTCGTATCTTGCCTCCTTGGTGAAGTTCAGCTGAGCTTCGCCAGGCCCTGCAGAGCCCTGGTGCAGCCTGGGGGGCTCCCACCCTGTTCAGCACGACAGCCATTCCGGAGTGTACTCGCGCACACACCTGGCCTGAGCACACCTCCAGATCAGCACGGTGTTCTTCTTCGGGGAAGCCTTGTCTTTCTGCTTCACCTATGTTCTGAGCCTTTCTTCCAAACCCCCACATATTTCTGAAACTGCTAGAGTGAGCATGTCCCTCACCGTGTGGGGGACACTCTAAAGGTCATGATAGGTCTTGGTCAGTCACCTCATGTCCCGCATCTCCAATCGAGTGTGAGCCCAGAGCAGATAGTCAGCCCCATTCCCTACAGGAGCCCAGAGCAATTCCGTGTCCCGGACAGGGGAGCGCAGGGGACTTTGATCCAGTTCTGCACAAGGACTGCAGGTCCTCCCCTCTCGCAGCCTCAGTTTCCACTCGGACCTTCAGGGCGACTCTCAAATATGGATGTTGTGCAGGGATTGCTGAGTCTCCCTGTAGTCCTGACTCCAGGGGTGAACCAGGCTGTTCCCAGCTCTTATTCTTCTTGAGGTCAGAGCTCCCTAGGAAGAAAGCTGTGAGCGAGGGCTTGAGGGTCAGGGCATAGTGTGTTCATGATGTCAGCCCACTGGAGAGGGAGGTGTACTGTTCTGAGAAGTGGGTTTCTTTCTGGTAGCTGGATGCTTCTCTGTGAAGTACTAATACATGAGTGAATGAATGAATGAATGAATAAAGAATGAATGAATATAAAATGAAAGGCAGCCGGGCGGTGGTGGCGCACGCCTTTAATCCCAGCACTCGGGAGGCAGAGCCAGGCAGATCTCTGTGAGTTCGAGGCCAGCCTGGTCTACAAAGTGAGTTCCAGGAAAGGCGCAAAACTACAGAGAAACCCTGTCTCGAAAAACCAAAATAAATAAATAAATAAATAAATAAATAAATAAATAAAATAAAATGAAAGGCAGGTGGCAGCTGGGGTTTGCCCCTTGGTGGGAGCTGCAAGAATGTCTCTCAGAACCCACTCTTGCAACACGACCCCCAGAAGGGAGACCTGGGAAGCAGGAGGCCTCACTCACCTCAACTGGCTTAGGTGGGGCCTCAGGTCGCTCCAAGGGGAACCAAGTCCGAAGCCCACGGCTACATTCCAAGTTCTCCACAAAGGCAGAATGGAAGCAAATCCCAAAGCTCCCCTCCACACACACACACACACACACACCTTTACCAGACTCCTGGGACAGTTTTGAACTCCATAGCCCAGGCTAGCTCCAAACTCACAATTTTCCTGCCATTTCTCCAGTGCGGAGATCAAAGGCCTTTACCACCACACCTGACTCCTGCCTCTCCTTAACCACTGGAAGCTCCCTAGCTCCTGCCTCCAGACCTGGGGGGGGGGGTGTCACTCACTCTTACCACTGCCTCTTCCACTTCCTGTGGCCAATTCCCTTCCAGATTCTGTGGAGGTGGCATCTCCTACAGGAAGCCTTGTCCCATTGGTCTCGTCTACGCGCTCCTTTGTAAGGGTCCTAGCTGCAACCTCATGAATCCTCGTGAAGGATCAGAGGGGAGCTCGACAACCCGAGATGGTGTCATGACCACAGGTAGAAACAGGAGCTCTTCAGCCACGGCTCAGGAAGCCAGCAGCCATCAAAAGTTAAAGAGACCAGGGAGAGACTCTCCTGAGAGCCTCTGCAGGGCCTCAGCTCTGTCACCACATGCACATGACCTCCTGACTTCCAGAAAGGAGAAGACATTTCTGTTTTCTAAGCCACCAAGCTTTGGGTGGTTTGTGGCAGTCCAACAGCCGTGGGCATTAACAGCATGCGGTATGAGTTGTCGATACTAAGTCATATCAACAGCGGAGCCGAGCCGAGGTCTGGTGCTCTTTCAGCCCCATGATGCTCCTGTCAGTTTTCCTGTCTGGAAGGCAGGGGTTATAGTTTCTACTCTGCAGAGATCTGGGAGGTATTTAATGAGAGCTGTGTGCATTGTGTCTTGCCCAGGGTCTGACCCACAGTGGCCTATCCATGTGTCTGTGTAGGCAGGCTCAGAGCCAGTCTACAGGGAATGTATCGCTGAGATAGGATCTCATGTAGCCCAGGTTGGACTCCAGCTTGCTATGTAGTCAATGATGATCTTGAATTTCTGATCCCCCTGCCTCTACCTCCCAAGTGCTGGGATTCCAGGCCTGTGCTGTCCCATGTTGTTGATGATGCAACTCAGGGCCCCTTGCATATTCTTCACCAACTAAGCTTCATCCCAGCCCCAAAGGGATGCAATCTCTTCTTTAGTCAGTCCACGAGTCTTCACTTCACTATCCAGGCTGCCCAGAAATGGGGCAGGACTCACAGGTTCTTCCTCCTCACAGCCTGCAGATATTTCTCAAACCATGAATAATTATCACTTTGGAGAGGAGAAGGTGATAAAATTCTTTCCCTTTGTCACCTGTCTTGAGCTGCAGAGTGCAGAGTGTGCACACACTTCCAGTCACCAGCAGGCCCCGGGGGGATGGGCCCTGCCTGGCCTGGGCTACACAGCTCCAGGAGTTCTGGGATTAAAGGCACGTGCTACCACATCTGTCCCTTTAAAGATTCTAAGAGAAAATGGCAAAACCTTCCAAATTCTGCTCCACTGGGCTCTACATCCGGTTACCGGCTGCAGAGAGGGCCCCTGAAGGTGCCTTGTGGCATGGGGCACTAGCATTTACCTCTAGAGTCTTCAGAGTTTCCCATGCAGATTACCCCCCCTGCTACCCTGAAGGCTGCATAGGTCTGCATTCTCCTCTGTTGCTCCTTCTGCCTAACAGGAACCCCCCAAGTCCTCAGCCTGGGCTGAAGGCCCCTTTTGGAGTAGTGCCCTTGGTGTGCACACACAGGTCCTGCTTCGCTGAGCAATTACTGTATACCAGGATGGTGTGGTGCCGACTCCACCTTCCACGTGGAGCTCTACAGTAGATACTCACAGCTGCCACGGGCTGTTCCTCTCTATGGTTGGTCTTCCCTTTTCCGTTCCATCCTTGGTCACCTCATGCAAGAAGCCCTCCTGAGCGAGCTGCCCCCCTTGCTCTGCTGGCACAGAGCGTCACCCGGCCCTTCCTTCACAAGTGTTTTCATGGCGAGTGGTGAGGCCCTGCCCATCCATTCCCCTTGTCCTGGCCAGGACACCAGCCCCCCTTCTCAGGGCTGAAGGGATTGTTTGAAGTTCAGAAAAAGAGTTGCAGGAAAAAAAAAAAGTCAAAGACACAGAGGTGAGGGAGAATGGGAAGACAGCAGGAGGCTGGGAGCCCAAAGAACTGAGGACGGTGCCTGGGCTCAGAAGTGTACTCCTGGCCCTGTGTGCTGGTGCACACGTGTATGTTTTCAGGCCCCTCAGCAGCCTGAGAGCTGTCTCACCAGACTGACAATGCAGACAGCCTGTGAGCTGTGACAGAAGTCCTGAGAGGGGAAGGGAGAGCTGTAGGGATGGCTGTCCTTCCTGGCTCCCTTTGCCAGGCCCTCTTAATGTCAATCCTGCAAATATTCCTCCAAAGAAGGTGGAACAAACCCAGACCCCTGGAATCTAAATTAGCTAAAAACCCATTGTGCGAGTGTTCCTGTGTGAGCATGTGCACATACATGCTTGTGGGGCATGCGTAATTCATTCCTAAGAAGCCATCTTGCTTTCTTGTTAAATTTATTTTTACTTATGTGTATGTGTATATGCTTGGGCAAGAGTATGCCACAAGCCTACAGGTGCCTGAGGGGGTCAGAAGAGGATGTCAGATCCCTAGATGCAGAGCTGCATACAGGCCAGTATGGGTGCAAGGGACTGAAGTGAGGTCCCCTGGGAGAGCAGCAAGTGTCTTAACTAACAGCCATCACATTACTCCAGATCCTCCAACGTGATCTTTTTGTTTGGTTTGGTTTGGTTTTGGTTTTTTTCAGGACAGGGTTTCTCTGTGTAGTTTTGGAGCCTACCTGGAACTTGCTCTGTAGACCAGGCTAGCCTCGAACTCACAGAGATCCGCCTGCCTCTGCCTCCCAAGTGCTGGGATTAAAGGAGTGCGCCACCATAGCCCGGCTCCAACTTGTTTTTTGAGACAGAGTCTCTCACTAGGACCTAGGACTTGCCACAATAGGCGATGGTAGCTGCCCAGTGAGCTCCAGCAACCCTCCGGGAACCTGCCTCCCCAGCTCGGGGATTAACCACTATGCTCAATAAAAACCTACCTTTTGACAAAAGGAAAAAAACAAAAAACATCAGGACAAGGTGGTTCACCCACCATCTGAATCAACTCCA